TAAACATCTATTCACGTTCAAATCTCACTCTGCGTTTCGTGTCCCTCCTCCTCCTCTCTTTTAACCGCGATAACGTCTTCGCTTCGATTCGCTCTTCACCTCCTCGTTTCAAAGTCGAATTAATTATAATACATATGTGTATCTTGATGCATGTATTTCCTCGTGTGTGTATGTGTGAAATCGTTCATGTATTCAATCACGTTTCGTCTCCCTCGTTCTTCTCTTTCCTCCCACGGCATCCGTGAAGCCCCCGCATTCGATCCGGCGCAGTCTCTCTCCCAAATCCCTCGTAAGCGCAAGTATTCCTTTTTTTTTTTTAACACATATATCTTGTCTGTCTGTCTGTTGTTCTGTGGTTCTTGTATATCGTTTCTTGTCTGTTTTGTCTCATTTCTTTAGTATCACTATAGAGTTATTGTAATTAAATATTTATACACCCATTGACAAACTAGCTACCACGTTTTTTTGTCGTTTAAATACAGTTCCATAGATATCAATTAATTTAATTAATTAATAGTTATTATAAGTTACGATAATTAATAATTAGAATAATCAAAACATGTACAGAAGATTATAGATTATCTTTTTCTCATCCTCCCACTGAATCCATATCGTCGCTTCTCCCGCCCTCTTTCTTCTCTGTCTCTCCTGATTCACCCCTCGTCTCTCCTCCAACCTCCCATCGTTTTTTTTTTCTCTTTCATTATTTTTTCTTCTTTTGTTGAAGTGTAATTATCGTCATTTCTCTTTGTTGATCGTTGTGACTCTCCTCGGAGTAGTTTCCTCGAGTACTCATTTTAAAAGTATTTTCTCTTACGCACCGCATCTTCTACTTGCATCCGTCCGCACGCATAACCGGTCCCTTTCGTTCTTTCTCTCTGACACACGCATTTTCACTCTCTCGTTCTCGCCCGTTTATTTATTTTTTTTTTTGTGGTTTAATTAGTTTAAGTATATAAATACTCTTCAATCTCCGTTCGTCTCTTTGTCCGCGTTATTTTCGTTAGTTAGGCCTACGGTGAGCTAGAGCTGCTTTTTGTTGCCGCGACGATCCTCCACCTCCCTCGGTATTCTATACTCCTTCTCCCCCTTCGTTTCGACTTTTACTCACATCGATCGCGGAGCGAACAACGCGTAAAAATAATTCTTGTCCAGCTCCAATAAATATACATCGTGCCTCTCTCGCACACGCTCACCCCTTCCTTCCTTCCTTCCTTCGATCACAAGCGCGCTCGTTCTTTCATTCCCTGACCCTATCTGTTTTCTCACCATCTTCTCCTGGCGTCGCTCGGTTTCGTGCTCGCTCGCGGGTCGAGTACACCGTCTCTCGCGTGAAACGGTGAACGACTCGGGGACCGGAAGGGCCGTCGAAAGAACAGGGGCTGCGTCGTAGAGACGAGGCGAGGGGACGGACAGAGAAGCGATAATGATCGAATGATTCGGCAAGGTGTACAGGACGCGTCGAGCGAGTCGCTTGCGAACCTGACGAGACTATCGGAGCTCGAAAGCCAGTTGTACGAAAACGGGAATGTTTGTCGAACAGAGGGAGATCGAAATGAAGGATCGAAATGAAGTTCGAATCGTGCACGTGTCTCGGGTCCTGTATCGAGTACCCTTCCATTCGAGCAGTAGAAAAGTGTACGCGGCACGTCGAACAATATTATTTTTACATATAAAACAGCGTATGAATCGTCCAATGTTGTTTATATTCGAACGACGAGAGCCACGATTCATCGAACAGACTCGGTGCACGACCGAACGCGCGTGACCCGGTGTCTAGGTCGCACCTCCGTTCGCTCCCTCCGTACAAAAGGCTCTTTCGCAAGCCCGTCGCTTTTCGTAGGAAAGGAAAAACGATTCTAAAAGACGGCTTCGAGCTCCGTTTGTGAGTTTGTGCAGCGATCGCAAAGGGTTAATCGGTCGTTCTACTCTCAGAGGTTCACCGTATAATCTCTAAACAGCTAGACCTAACGTTCTCTCCTCTTCGTCTCCTAAATCTCCGCGAGAGAGATCATCACATTCATTCTCCCTCCGATTGTATTCGCTCCCGGCAGTCTCTAGTTTCCCTGGAAGTTCTAGGAGAGTATCGTCGTTCGGAGCTAATTAACTTTGCCTAAGATCTCAGTCTCTGCGGTATTTGATACAAATTGGAAGAGGATTTCTTTTTTACCCTTTTAGCTCTTTTCGTACATTTCGTTCCTCTTTTATTGTATCACGCGTACACGACCCTTTTTAATTGCGCGTCGCTCAACGATCTCGATCAAGAATCTACGTTCTCCGCGTCACCTTCTCTTATAAAGCGATTATCTTACTGGCTCGTCCCAACCCGATTTCTCCGTCCCTAAATCCGAGCTCGGACGACGATGAGATAAGAACGAAGCAGCGAATCGTCGGGACGAATAAACGCGACGATCGACGAGAATCGCGAGCCGAGCGCATCTGTACGACGCGACGAGAGGACGAGGCGCCGTAGCTAATGTAGTGATAACGAATAAGTACAATGGTGTCCGGATCCCGAATGAATCGTCAGACCAATCTTTCAAACGGGGGCAACGACCTGTCAGTATTGTGCGTTAGCTCGAACTCTTTACAGCGACGTGGGGTTCGTCCCTCGAGATCGGTGAAACGCGATTCGACTCGCAAGCTTACAACTTATTTTTGTGCCGTTCTGTGCGGTACAGGACTCGAGATTGCATCTCTCTCTGCCTGTTCGTAACGTTTAGAAAAACTTGTGCTGATCGGTCCATTCAGCATCGCGATACCTCGTGCTGTTCACACGGTTGCAGTTACTTATGGTACGCAGCGTCTTCCACCGATATACACATAACATTCTACAGGATAGATAGAAGGAAGAACGTCGATCCTGTTCTGACCAGCGAATCTTGGGATCTATCCAAACGATTTATACGAAAATTCTTTTAAGGAGTAAACACGTTCAAGCGATTTACATGTGGGAGAAAAATGAAGAATTCGATATCAACTGACATAATCGAGATCCAAGTTCGAACTGTGAAACAGGGATCGTTCCTTGGCGTGTGCGTATGCGTATCCTAACGAGAAACCGAACCTACATCCCCCGGCAGATACGTCATCTCTATCCTTCTAAACCCTGTTAATATCGGTGAAGTACGTATCTCACGACAGCGCGATCACCCATTTCGATGAAATCATCAAACTTATATTACCGAATCGTTATCATCAGTTTTCTGATCAATTCGTTAAATGATCGCGTCATAGACGTTTCTAACGTAATAGGAAACAACGTCGGATGGACGATGCTCGGATAGAAACTCCTGCGACGCGATCGTTAACGGTCATCATCGTCGTGATCGTAGCGATACCAACTAACAACGATTATTAAGACATGAATACAATACACATAATGTAAATCTAACGTAATAACTCTATGGTAATATAATTTTATAGTTAAGTAGATTAGGGTGTTCCCCATCAATCTCTCGCCGCCTTTCGCGTCACTCTCATCTACTCTCTCGCTCTCTCTCTCTCTCTCTCTTTTCGCATACCCTTTCTTTCCATCTCTTCCATACAATTTCTTATCTATACTCTTCATCCGACTCTTTCCCTTTATTTTCCCTCACCTCCGCCGACTTTATAATCGGTCGTCCGAGTTTTGGGAAGAACGGGACAGGGCGTGACTCCCACTTGTGAATACAAGTTCCTCGCGTTGTGCGTCTCTTCTCGACAGCCTTTCTAGCATCCCCTATCGTACTGTGCGCTAAATTGGACAGTTCCGGCGAACTGTCCTAACTCTTTAAACGGGAAAACAAGAAATCTTCCGAGGCTCTTTATCCAATTCTAATCACGCATTCAATTTTTCAATTGTTAGTATCACCGGTCAGGTTTTCGTTTTACCCTTTCACCCTTTTTAGGTCCGCCGAGGGACTACGTTCTTGCCTATCGATCTCACATTCCAATAAGCCGTTCTAAGCCATGTTTAATATCGACCCATTTGTACTTGCCACTATGCACTCCCGTTTCGTTTCGACGTACAGAGTTCGTGACCGCTATTTAATATCGTTAGATGAGACTTTCGATCGTGTCACCGAAATCACGATTCCATTGAGATTAGACAATCGTCGGTGCAGCCCCGAACCTGGGAACGAAGATTATTACATCAGTACGTAAATACGTTTCGATCGGCTTCGAGTGCATCGGTGCACCGTTTCGTTTCCGATACTCGCGACGTTCTCGTCGATGGAATGTTAAATGATGACGATAGAAACATTGCAAACCACGTTGTGCAATGACCAGCGCCAGTTGCGTCGATCGCTCGGTCCCGATTACGTTGGGTGAGCGACGAGGAATGTACTCGAGAATTATAATAATAATAATAATTATACAGAACGAAATTGGTGGATGTACTTCGTTCGGTCGGGGTGGAAAGATAATGTAAGATGTGGTGTTTCGGGAAACTGGTGGCAACAGAAACAAGTAATAGAAATGAAACAAACGACTTATTTGAACCAAACACAAATCAGTTTAATCCTTAAATAAAACATAATTTCTGTTATGTTATATAATAATTAAATAAATAAATAAATAATCGGTACTAGTAGTAGTAAGTAATAATAATAATAATAATAATAATAATAATAATAATAATAAGTAGTAGTAGCAGTGGTGATAATCGTGTTGGTGATGATAGTAATAGCAGTAGTATCAGTAATAGTGGTTATAGCAAATAGTTATAGCAGGTGTGACAGAAATTAACGACGATAGTAAAGATATTAAGATCCCCCTTTCCCGCCTTTAGGAGTACGGGAGAGGTGTTAAAGGTTTTGTTTGTAACTACTAGATGACACAAAAAATATATACGATAGTAATAATAGTAATGACGGTAATAATAATTCATAATAATAATAATAATAATAATAATATAATGACGATGACAATGGCAATAATAATAATAATAATAATAAAAACCAGAATAAGAATTATAATTAATACACATGATAATCATCATGGTAAGAAGATTTAACGTTTTATACACGGTAATCGATCTGATCGCGATTACGCGTAAGAAAACGTAGAGACTGTAACGTCGATTCGTCCCCCGTTTCAATTAATTAAATCTTTTACCTCTCGAAGCGTTCATGAGAAATCATTCAATTTTAAATAGATCTCGTCGAATTGAAACGAGGGGCGAATCGTTCCTATCGGAATCGTTTCTTCTGTTTCTCACGTGTTCGACGCGTGTTACACGCAGCTACTACACTAGGTTGCCCGTCATTAACCAGCCGGTGTATCATTTATTATCATAATTTGCACTAAATTATCGAGATCCTCTTCGCCCCGTAGGCGCGTCGATCGCGTCGACGCATTCTTTTCCGCCCTGCCCAACGTTCAGAGGGTTGAAACGCGCGTTCGAGACCCGACCGATCGCGGTTCACGAGGCTCTTCCAAATAAATAAAATAAAATAAAATCTTAGCGATTAACTATCTGTTACTTGAGGTTCAAGTTACGTTTCTTTACGGGAGGGTGACGCAGGTGCGTAACGTCGCGCTCCTGGGGAGCGTATTCTCTTTCACAGCCTGCCTTCTTTCCCTCCCCGGACTAGACACAAGAAGGTACACATAAATAGGACAACATATATGTATATCTATATATATATACATATATATATATATATGTATATGTGCATATGTATATATAATATACACTACGCTTTTTTTTATCTCTTCCATTATTAAACCTAGGATTTCATGAAACTGTATTCAGGATTAAGTACGTAAGCTTCGTATCCGCTCGCGCTGCTATCATTTACGACCGATCATCAATCTACTCAATTTTCTTTTTTTCTCTTTCAATTGTAATCGCCAAAAAGTAGCGCGAGCGAACCGACTCGTTTTCGTTACACATTGCCACCACCTAAAAGACGCGCCTTCTTCTCACGATTAAACATCGCCTGATCCCCCTAACAGTTTAATGCACGATCGCGTCGTCGTTCCCTCTTTCTACGGTGGTGCTATCAATGCGCAGTGTCGTCCATCCTACGGCTCGACACTTCTTTGTATGCAAGACTAGACACGTGTTCGTCCGACGTAGATCCGTCCATATCACACAGCCGTGCACCGTCTCGAATGGTCTCTTTATTTATTTTCATTTTGTTACAAAAAGGGGAACGGTAGCAAGGAAGGACACGTCGCGTGTCGATCTGTGTCACCGGGTAAATGTTCTCTATGAAATATCTCTTGAATTCCTCTAAATATTTTGTACGTTGGACTTTTATATTTTCCGTATCGGTAGTTTCGTTAAAAAAGAGAAATCGAACGTTTCGTGTTTATAAAAATTGGAACATCGTATGACGGAGGGACGATTGTACGTTCCCTCCGCGCCGCGATCTACGTGTATGTTTTTTTTCCGTTTTTCTCGTACCCATTTATTAAAAAGATGGCTGACAAAATTCTTCTAAAACGTCCTGGTCGCGGACGGTGTACATTCGAGGGACTCTAATACGCGGTGCGCTCGGTGAAATCAGACTTCGCGTTTAAGAAAGCACTTTGTACTAGCTAAGATCTCTGTTATACGCTTACGCGTATAAGAAAGGAAAATGAACGAAATCGAAAAGAAAGAACGAAGAAAAGCACGTGGGCTACTCTTTGGGCGACCGCGAGATAAGTACGAGAGCTTGTGACTAGCAATAAGGAAACGGTACCATTACGCGTTGCTACCTTACAGATAAATACGACGTAATCCCTCGGGTTACTGTAACGACATCTCGATCTGTCGCGACATAGAAATTGTATAGCACGTAAGCCCTAAATTAATTATTCCCTTAAATATATTATAATAATTATGTACCTCGTCCCTTCGGTACTCACCGAACGGCGGCTCGGCCCCGATTCAGTTTCTCTTTAAGTACGTTTGGTCTCCCCGACTTGAAACAAGTAGAAGAAAGAATTGGGAAAAGATCGTTCGCGTTCGACGATTCGCTTCTCCTTTCATCGTCGTTGCGTTTCGCTCCCTATCGATTTATTAAATTTATTCTGTTGTCCAGAGGCAACCTGCCTCGTCCGATCGATCAAACGATTTGATCCGAGATCGATCGTCCCCGTCCCGTCCTCGCTCGCGACCCGACCTCGCTCGCGATCCATCTCGCCGCGTCCTGCTACGTTCCGTCTCTACTCATTCATCCCTCGTTCCCATACCATTTCTCTGCAACCACCCACTGCTTCTATCATATAATCCCGTTACTGTCTCTCTCTCTCACTCTCTCTCTTCACAGGTTCCTTCACGTTCGCTGATAATTGGGAAAACGCGAGCTACTGTTTTGATCAGCCTCATCGAGAGGACTCTAGTCAATGATTCGAAGGAAATCCACATTTTGTTCAGCGGATTCCTCGAGGACGAAAGCACGCGGTCGTCGAGCGTCTCGCGAGTACGGCGATCAGGACCTCGCGTTTCCCCGGGAGAAAAGTAAACGAATCAGAGAGGCAAAAAGAGGGAATGGTTGAAACAAGGACAGTGGAAAAAGTAAGAGGAATTACTGCTTCCCCTTTTTCTCTTCCAGTTAGATCCGGCGCGCCCGTTACAGTTAAATATTAAGCTAATTAAATCGATAGTTCGACGCATTTACAACCTACCTCTCTCTCTTCCCCTCTGTTCATCATCGTCATTTGCTCGTCCTCCTCCTCCTCTTCGTCTCTCTCTCTCCTAGATTACCTTATACCTGCATTCAGCCGACACGCGTACCCATCGCACACTCCTTCTTCACACGTATACACGCACACGCACTTCTTATCAATACTCTTCTATATCCCGCCCGCCCCTCTCGCTCTCCCTCTCTCTATCTATCTATCTATCTTTCTCTCTACCTCTCGACCGAACGTTCTTCAAGGAGGTCAGCTTGGCTACTCGATTTCGTCGTCGTCTTCGTGGTTCCCTTGGCTCCGAACTTCGACACGAGCTTGCGAACGTGATCGTCGGACATTTTGCGCGCGTGATGGTCATGGTGTTGCCGTCGATGGTGATGATGGTGATGGTTCTCGCCGCGGTAACGATTGTTCAGGGTATCGATGACCGAGGTAACGGAATCGATGGAGAGACGGCCGTGGTTAATCTTGGTGGAAGCATAGACGGCAGCCGCGAGCGTATGGACGGTCACGGGAGTGACCGCGGCGACTACCGCGGCGACGGCGGTCGTCATCCTGGCGTTGGTACCGGTCGTAGCCACGGCAGCCGGTCGTCTTCCCTCGTCTCCTCTTCCTTCCCCTCCCTCTTTGGCCGCCGTGATTTCGCGACGATAGTCTTGGCGTCGTTGCTGCTTGTTGTCCTACGCCGCCTTGCTCTTGTTCGTCTTGAAGCTCACTTGGAGCACCCGATTCCCGAGCGTGTAACCGTTCAAGCTCTGGATGGCGACCACCGCCTCGTCGTAGTTGGTCATCGTCACGAAACCGAAGCCTTTGCACTTATTCGTCTGGAGGTCGCGGATCACTTTGACCGATTGGACGGCGCCGAACGGACCGAATAACTGCCACAGCACGTTCTCCTCAGTCTCTGGAGCGAGGTTGTACACGAAGATGCACCAGCCGGAGCCGTTCATCGCGTTCCCGGGCAGCATCGAGTTCGCGAGGAGATCGCCTGCCAGCGGGCTGTACCTGAAACAGTTCCGTTACACGGCTCTTAAAACCCGCGACCGCCCCCTGTTGCGGACGACTTAACTTTAATCTTCAATCGTACTGACACAGAAAAATAAACTCGTGCAAGTGTATCAACGTCGACGAAGATGAGAAGATGTCTAAACGATCGAGCAACTCGCGAACAATCGACGCATTCGATCTTCCCATTGACGTTATTAATGAGTAGAATTTTATAAAGACAGGGTAAATAGTTCCATTAATGAAACTGCATGCTGTTCTACGACGAGATTCTAAAACTGAACAACGCGCATCTGAATGCCGGCTACTCGCGATGGAATTTTTAAGTAGAAAAAAATGGAGCTGGACCTGGAGGGTGAGCAAATGGGAAGAAAAGGGGAGAAAGAAAACAGAGAGAAAGACAGACAGAGAAAGAGAGATAAAGAACGAGAGTGCGAAACCATAAGAGACGATCGAGGTTCGCATGCACTTAATCATGGCATGCAGCGGAATCATGGAATGCCATGTGATAGAACACGTGGGGCATATTTACAGTGATGTAAAAATATAATCTACGTACCTACTTGACGTCACAAGCCGCGTTAAAACAGGGCATATCTCGGTGAGTATTCAGTTTAGGACCGAGGTGATGCTAATTACGTATGCGTTTCGAATGCACGTTACGAACCGCGAATGCTTTAAGATACGCATCCCCTTGTATCATAAGTGGGATACGTACCTTAATACGTATAGAAAATTTCACTTGCCACGCAGGTATTTACTATCAACTGGAGACCGTTTAGATACTACCAATCGTACTGGCCAATGTATATAGGAAATTAGTTTATTATAGTGGCCAATACGTATGGCACTGGTATTAATCCATTCATCTCGTGTCTCATCATCGAAATTTATTAAGAAAGATTAATTTTTCTCAGGCTACGAAACTCACGTAGTAAATTGTATAATGAATTTCAATAAAAGTATTTTGATTCATATACATAGACTGGTTCCAATATGCAGTGGCTCGCGAAAGTCTCTGACCGTATTTAAGTAAAGTTCGTCATTTAAAAGTTGAACGCTTCTATTTGTATGTATCATCGTACTGTCGGGAGGTCGATACACCATCCCAATTAACGATGATCATGTGCAACTCTGCATTACTGTGCACCGACACAATATTACATACATATTTCATACGTAACACGTAACAAGTGTACTTATGTATATGTACATGTACATAAGTACGCGATTTTCTTCAAGGATCGTGCACCTAGTCTCAGCTCTACGCCAACGATTTAATATGAAATACAAGTGGCCGATGAATACTCTCAATCCAATCTAATCTGAATTCTCGTTACTCTACACTGTCCAGTATCATCGACAGATAGTGAACGTGCCTTTCGTGTACCGTTACGAGTTTATTGATTGAGTACTCGTCATGGGTAAATTCAATCGTAGGTCCCTTGATTTATCCTCGTTTCTAAAATAGATTAAAAGAGGCGATGGACGAGAGTGAGAGATCGCAGGTGCACGGTGTCTTGAATCGAACACGACCGATGAAGGCGAATGAAAAAGAAAGGAAATAGCGAAGAGAAGAGAATAGAAAAGAGAAGGAGCCTCTCGAGGAATTCGTTGATTCTGGTCACTGATTCGAGTCACTGTCTTCGATGCTTTCAGCGAGATCCGTTTTGCGTTATCTCTATCGACGACTTAATTCATCGAAATCCGTCTGTACAGTCCGCATGCGGTTCACGTAAATTTCTTTCCTCGATACAGTGGAAGCTAGGCGAATCGTGTGCAAAAGGTGAGAGAGAACGAAAGCCACGCACGAATAGAGAAATCAAGCACCGGAAATAAAAGATGAAAAACTGGGAGGGAACGTAGTGGTAGTAACGAAAAAAATACTGACCTCTGTAAGCCTTTGTTAATGGCAAGCATGGCCTTGCCAGTGCTAAAACAAAACACAAAAAGAACAACGTAAGAAGAGAGATACTCTGGGAGCGAGCCAAAAAAGAATTGGGATAAGAGTTGGTCACTTCCTTGTCCTTTTATTTCTTTCTCTCATTTGATTTTCTTTTTTTCTCGCGAAACTACCATCTATGATGCCTCTCCGTTTTCTTTTCTCATCATGGTCGATTCAAGGATAGACAGATAGACAGACAGACAGCGAGAAGAAAAGGCGGAAAGCGAGCAACGGGACAGAGGGACGTCACAGGAGAGAAACACAAAACGAAAAATTATATGTATTTCAAAGTTGTTCTTCTTTTCGATAAGGAAACGCAAATTCGAAAGGCAAATGAAAAAGCGAAGCGCATTCGCATGGTTACTCTTGCTTCATTTCATATCCGAACGCTGTACATGTTCCTCTGTAGATTTTTCCTAAGAGCGTGGACATACAGACGGACCTAAAACGCGTTCAAAACTTTTGATAACGTCCCACGTTACGAGGATGTAGTATCGCGCAGAGTAAGTCTCGATGGAAGCATGGATGCCTTGGAAATTTAGTTCGATGAATTTACAATGGGGGAAAAAGAAGAGGTGACAGATTTTTATGGTAGGTCAGGTGCGAGAGGAGGAGCCTGCAGTGTACTTGGATACTCAAACGATGAGTGCATGAACGAAAGGAAAACGATCGATCTAAATCCCTTTAGAAATTCAACGTAGTTCGCTACTGAAATCGCTGCTCTTAAAAATACCTATTATTTAGTTTCAAGTGGCATCGGATCGATCGTCGGGATGTATGTACATACACGCTGTCATATGATACGCGCGTCCAAAGTCTCTACTGGAAATAAAAAGAAGAACGAGACGAAGGAGAGGGAATTTTTAACAGGAGGGTGAGAAGCAGAGACGGGGGTGGAGAAAATAATGTTTGTTTTGTTTTTTTTTTCAGAAAAATGAAAAGAGCAGAGGAGAAAGATAGAGAAAGAGAGCGAGAGATCTTTGGGTAGAGCGAGTAGAGGCGAGTAGGTACCTGGATAGTGGCGACAGTGGAATGTACCTGAAGCGGCCGGTTGGGTGGTGGATCGGGCCGCCGTATCGTCGGGTTGCCTGGGGTGCCAGGTAAGCGGCCAACGGCGGTAGCGCCTTGTTGTTGTTGCTCGGATTGTTGGCGAATTTGACGGTGATAGGCTCGTTCGAGCCCTTCGGAACGGTACCGTTCAACTCTTGGATCGCCCTCTCGGCTTCGACCCGCTGGTCGAACCTTATGAAACCGACCCCCTTCGACAATCCTGCCGGTAATCGGTTCACGTTATTCAATCGCCCGTCTCTCCCAGTGTCTTAGTATTTTTTTTTGTTTTTTATCGAAGTGAGAACATTGATAGCTTCCTCGTTGATCGTTCAGCGATCATCCGGTGTTACAATTAGAACGATCGGTCTTTATCGATGCTTCAAGACGTTTGAAAATTTAGAACAGGTAACGAGTTCTCTTTCCATTCGCGAATCACGGGTTCGTGATTCGAATGGAAAGGCTTGGAAACACCCTTAGGTGAAATCTCCTAAGAATTCGCGGTGTCCGTATATACATGTCTCTACGCATGTATTCGTTATGGAAACACTTCGATAACGTTGAAGAAGGCAGTCCTCGCATTAGCTGTCTCGCTAATGCCGATCGACCTCCTCCTTTCACTCCGTGATAAGCGGCGAATTACTTTCGTGCGGAATGCGATCAGTGATCGCATTCGAGTGGGTCGGTGCGCGCAGGTTCGTTTCTTTACACCGATGTCGTGTGCATCCTCGGACTCTGTTCGTCTCGCGGAGCTGAATGAATGTACTTTCTGATAACGCGGTAAGAAAGGAGCGAGAGTGTATGTCTGTACGTTTGTGCCATGGATCGAAGGCACGGTCGCAGAAATCATAATATAACGACCGACGAAAAGCGTAAAGAAACAAAAACGGCGCTCGACGGGGCAAGATTCTGAGGCGTGATAAACATCGTCGCGGTCGCGTTAACAAAGCAGCCGACGGAAGAACAAATTAAAAGATAACGAACGGTATTTTATTATGTATTCGTTCCTCTCTTTGGAAATACAATACGTATCTCGCGAAACGATGCTCTCCCGTATCGACTGTATCCGGTCGAAAGTGTTAGTTACATTTTAATTTTGGTTAGCGACAATCTGTACAAATTGTTCAATCCTTTCGCGAGGCGAACGATACGCGAAGCTCAGAGGGAACGATAATAACGAAAGACGGCTGCTATTGTTTCAGCTTGAGTGTAATAAGGGAAAAGAAAAAAGAGTTGTATGAGTTACGTACCGGGCAAATAGTCTCCGCCGCCGGTCACAAACTGTCGTACTAAACAGAAACGGAAAAAATCATATCACGTTAAAATCCAACTGGCAGCATAACACGATTTGCTCGCCCCTGATTCGTCCATGTAGAAAGGTAGCGTGTAATAAATAAACGAAATAGAAGCAAAGAAACGATAAATACGTAAATAAAAGAAAGTTATTCTCGGATTGCTTCGAACTTCGACGATTCCAAAGTCCAGATGAATTTAAATGGGAAAAGAGGGCCAAAGTTGCAGGCGGAGATATGAGGAAGAAGACAGCATTCGGAGCATCTTCCTTGCATTGAGATCTCGCGGCGATATTATTAGAGGTGTACACAATTTGAAGGGAGCAATCGAACGAGATCGATCAGTAATGAGATGAATAAGGGGCGAGCGATCGTTTCGTTAACAAATTTTTTTTTAACGCTATTCCATTGTTCGCAAGAAATTCTCGTCTTTTGGTTACTGTTAAACACAAGCAGCTAAACGATGCTCGGAGGTGAAGGTGATGAAACAAACGCAAGGAGAAAAAACGTACAACGTGAGGGGAGGAAAAAAAAATGGTAACCAAATCGAGGAGCACACTCTAAATAAAACATAAACAGAACGTAAGAGAAGAAACGTACCGCTTATCGCGACACGTGGAATCATGCGCTATCGCATATGACAGCACGTCGCATCGTGGATAGGAATCGATCTTACGCACGATGTCACATGCGTGTCGCATGGTTCAGCACACGGTTTCGACAAGAAGTTCTTACCTTAAAAGCGTAAGGAACGGGTGATGATTCCACGTACAATACGTACCTTCGTCAGTGTCTGTACGAATCAAAATCATTCGAACGATAACGAAAATGGAGAAGAAACAAATTCAAGATCGTCGGTCGCGAACCGTAACGAACAGACGAGAATTGTCGGAGGATTAAATAAAAACAAGCGGCAATATAAATGATAAAAAAAAAGTATAACGGTAGAGGGTAGCTAGGCCATGAGGCTGTGCGTGAAATTGGGGATGCAGATAGAATGTACTGCTGAAAAACGTAAGCTGAGAACGCAAAAGATAATGACTGAACAAAAGGTACGGAAGTACGAAACTGAAGCCGGTAATCGTAATTGGCGATCGTGTGTTCTCTCGAATGATCAACGCCACGAAATCCGAAGTGTAATCGTAAAGTGTCTCGCGACGAAAATAAACGAAATCAAATGAAACGATTAAATGAAATAATTAGCGACCGTTCGATCGATCGGTATAAAGAGATCGCAGCTTGCAACTTTCGAACAATTGCATATTCTCATTTACGTAGTAACTCGTAAAAAAGCTGAAAGACAATACGGAAATGCATTTCGCAACCCGTTAACAACGATCGTGTATTCTCGTAGACTAGGCGCACCGATCCACCCCACAAACGACTATAACCCCATGGCCTATTCTCTTCAATTCCTCGGTATATCAAATCGTTCATTTCCTAACGGATCGTCCATCGAACGGGTCGTCGGACTCGCGTAAACTGTTTCCTTGTTGGAACAAAATAACGGAGGCAGAACGTTTCCACCCCCGCTGGCAAATCTCGCGGCCCTTTCGGAGGGCCGGCGACGTTCTAACGGCCGACTACTAGTCGCGTTGCTTCTCGGATAATTCGGAAACTTACCGGTGATGTTGTCACAGAGTATCCGCGACGTGATGATTCTGCCGTACGGGCTGAACAGATTCTCCAGGTCTTGTTGAGTCATGTTTTTCGGCAAACCACTCACGTACAGGTTTGCGCCTTTGATCGCCTCGCTGCTCGGTCTCGCGTACGATACCTGCCGGCACCATCGTCACTCGCATTGGCATCGTCATCAAACCACCGCGTATCAAATTCGTGTTCGCGAAACCGATGCAACTTCCAAGACTAACACGTCTCCGATCGACTCCGATATTCCTACTTTCGAAAACCTCCAAGCAAACACTGACAATCTAGAATCGCATTTCGGTGCATGGATACATGAGAAAAATTGCAATTGATAGAAGATCGAATAAAATTCTGATCTGATCCGCTCTTTCAACAGGAGTAATAACCGAATTCGTGTATCAACCGTATGGAATGCGGGAGCGAAAGAATTCGGACTGTTCCGATGGAGTTAATAAATAGCAGATGCAATAATGTCTTTGAATTCACGCCAATCTATTTCTAACATAGCGATTACCGTGTAATTTCGTATATCCGACGTTCCGAACTTGTTGCCGTTTAGTAAAACGGTCCGATACGATGCAACGCGCGATGCGAAATGCCCGAGTAGCGTACGGATTTCTGCGAGAGAGAGAGTACGTTTATCCAGAACTAATTTGTTTCTAGCTTAAACCATTCGTAAACGCGCAGGCACGAACGAATCTAAATTAGACTCGGTACTACAGCGACCGGTTTATCGAAGTATTATGTATTTCGTAGTAAATACAGAAACAACGGTATGCCTCTCACAGATTTAAGATCGCGTATTTACTTTTAAGTCTTAATCGAGCCTTTATAAATAGACGTAGTTCGGTGTGTCTAATCGGAACGTACCTTGATCGTTTTGTTCTGCAAACGGAGACCATTCAAAGTGATTATCGCCTTCTCAGCGTCCTCGGGCCGATGATAGTTAACGAAACCATAGCCCAAACTCTGACCTGTAACAAAAAAACATACACCGGATATAGTGATTAGTGGCGGTCTTGCAGCAACGATTTGCGATCATCGCGTGAAACGTTACACCGCGGGATATTCGCGATCGGTGAACACGTTCATTCATTGATAAGTCGATTTTGCGGGAAACAGGAAACGCGGGACACGCATTACGGCCCTGAAGAGACCGCGGCGACGAGGTCGAATATAAAGCGACGCGGCAGCGAAGGCTCAAGCTCAAACGAAGACGCCCCCGCTACTCCGACGGCTCGAAATAGCGTCGCGACGTCCACGCACGTGCTCGCTCCTCTCCGCTAACGTGAAGAATTCAGTGGCGCGAGTACGAAATTACGCGTTGGATTGCGACGCAGCGTGCATACGCGTGCCGGTAACCGAAAAATCCATCGACGGAGTCCCACTGGAACGTAACGTTGCGCAATCGGCCGCCATCCCCTCTCTCCTCTCTATGCAACGGGACGTGCGTGACAATGTTGGATTCGTGGAATTGCTTTTATACGACGTGGTGACGTGGACCGCGTCTACGAAAATCGTCGCGTATTCGACGGACGATGGAAGAAACGATACGTTCGATCACTCACCGGTAAGTTTGTCCCGAATCAGCTTGCAGCTCTCGACCTCGCCTATACTGGAGAACAGCGATCGAATCTCATCCTGCGTCATGCTCTGTGGCAAGTAGTTGACGATTAGATTCGTTTTCGATTCTTCCTGCGAGGTCTGTCCGAGGGTGGATCCACCGTTTTGTTGCACGACCGTGTTGTCCATTCCGTTCGCCATCATTGCACTCTTCTTTCCCTCTAACTACGTACCAAAGCTGAAACAGAAATCGGGCGGGACGTTATCGTCGCGCAGGGAACAGACGATACCTCTTCGTCCAGCTGTTTGTAAAATAACAAACAGCGTCTGCTCTCTACGTTTCGTACCGTCTTCTAAATCGCTCTTTCTCTACTCGAGTGCAATCGATCGCTCTCTCGAAGGACGCGTGTAACGTGGTAGGCACGTCAGATTTTCCCGACGAATTCCAAGCGTACAGGACTAGATTATTGGGTCGTTCGCGTTATACTCGGGAAGAATCGCGGGAAGAAACAGACGAGCGTAAACATACAATTCTAGCAAGAAGTCTCGACACACAACTCTGAAGGACGTACATAAAAGCTTGTGTTAATCGGCACGCTGTAAACGATGCAAAAGTGCCTCGTTGTATTGAAAACATTTCGGCTCGAAGGGAATCAGTTTTTGCATTATTGTTTACAACCGTGGCAACCAGCAGCGTATTTTCCTACGTTTCCTCGTTCTTAGAACGTACATAACATCGGAATTTAATTGTAGAACCGACCTTTCGATTTAACAGTGAGATTTTCTGTGACTCGTCGGAAGAGAAGACAAGCGGTGGTCGCTTGTGACTTACAAAAATTCATGGTACGCGCAACTGGATGCTGATACCAACTTGATGACTTTCAGAACGTGAAAAGAACAGGCGGCGGTGACCGTCGGTAGAGGGCGAGGATAACGTCCAATGGAAACGTGGATAATTTAAAAGGGCGACGACCCCCCTATAGTTTAAAGGACTCGGCACCCTCTGTCTTCCTTCCCCCTTCGACCGAACGTCTACCTTTCCCTACGTTCCAGGAATTAAACGTTGCTGCCGGATAAAACCTGATCCGTGCGCATCGCAGATAAGCCAGTACGAACGGGCAACCAGAGCCGAAGAGGAAAGAGAAAGAATAATTAAAGGCGATGTCCGTAGGGTTCCGATAATATTCACGATTAAGGCGAACAGTTCACAGCTGCCGTGACACATGTATCGGCCGACGTGAGCCGGTGGTGTACATTTTAATTCTCTTTTTCTGTTCCACCGCCAGCCAGTCTCTCTGTTGAACGCGCAACGTAGCCATCAGCTGTCCGTCGTTGAGCCACCCCACGCAGCGAGGTCTGCGTCTCGTGTGGTCACCCCAATCAGAATGATCACATTCTCTGGAGATATAATAGATAGCTGTCTTTATTATATATGCACCGAATGTGCTCAGCGCAAGACCACCTGGGAAAAATACGCGCGTCTGCCAATTTCGAGTTCCCGTTTCACGACACGTACATTTCGTATATATCAATTAGAGACAGATACGCGTTCCTATCATCGTTCTGATAATTAAACGTGCTTTAGTATCTGGTCATGATGAGCACAAATTCGAGGAGATGTAAAAAGAAGCCGACGAAAGTTACCGTTGGGTCGGTGTTTACGAACGATGCGAAGAAAAGGAGGCGCGGGTGCAGTTAAAGAAAATGTCGGAGTTACCAGTTATCGCAGCCCCGCATCTTCCGACGCTATCGATCCGCGATACCCTCCGTTTCTATTGCTCCAATGCCCAGCGGATAGCGATATATTTCGGTACGAAAGAACCCTAGCCGGGACTCGCGATTCAAGGAGGACGCATTGGAAAAGTATCGTTCGCCAGTGACTCCGAAACGCGACTCTTGTGCCACCGTCATTATCCGACAACAATGAACGTTACGCACGGCTGCGCGTATGTGTACACGAGAACACCCGGTTGTTCGCGGCACAATGCGGAAACCCACCCCCTTCGGCCAACCCCTTTCGGCACGCAAAAAACGGCTCCGTATGCAACTATCTACTGGAATCGGAGATTCGAGCACCGAGTCCATCTCCTATCGTCACCGACTACTCGTTTAGCACCGATTTATAGGATAAATAGAACGATCCAAGAAATTGCAATTCGAGACCCGCGGAAAACGCCCGAGACAAGAGCGTTCGTGTATTTCTTCAAAGAAGAAGGTAGCAGGTGGGTTTGACCGGGGGGTTAAAGTTCGATTTTCGCGTACGCTGGCAGATACGATCTTCGGCCCGTGGCCAGGTGGCCATGGCGACGGATCATGAAAATCGCGTGGTCGGGAGCGATCAATACGAACGCGCTGCTTCTCCCTCTCTCACTCTTTCTCTCGTTTCTCCGTGCGCACGAGAGAACCCCTTCCTTCCTCCCTCTTTCTTCCCCACTCTATTCCTCTCTCGCTCTGTCCCTTTGTCGGTCTCGCCACGATTCCAAGGGAAATACCTCACCCGCGCAAGCGTACGTTCCATACTCGCGCTCGGGGAGACACACACGCACGCACGTACGAGTCACCCTGTACACGGACGTGCGCAAAAACTAAGAGATTGATAGCCGGTATCGAGGAACGAATGTGCTCAAAGAAATAGTAAACAATAGTTAGACGCGAGTGGTAATCGTGGCGGCGGTGGCCGGAAGGGGATTACGATAAAGAACGCGCAGCAGAGGGCGAGAATGAGAATGTGCGACGAGCCTCGCTAGGCACGTGCTCCGAAATACCCTTGTCCGCGTTCGTCCATCACCAAGAGATACGCGGCGCTTCGCGTTCTGCGTTACGCGCGAGCGGAAAGGTCGCGTGTCAAACGAAATAAATAGGGAAGGATTCGAACGAGCTTACCTTTCCCTCGCCGCCTCTTTTCAGGATCCACCTTTCTACCCCCCTCACGATCGATGTACGCGAAAACGCACGACACACATCCACACGGAGACACAGGAAACACTTGTTAATTTCTTTTATTTTCTTTTTCTTCTCGAGACCGCGGCCGCACTCCGTTTCCGTACTACCCGTCCGCTGATCTATCGGCGCGTTCTTGTTTACTCGTTCAGCGATAAACGCCTGTCGCCGTCGGCCGCACGCGAAACCGAGCACCGTGCAAAATCCCCCGAATGGTACGCGGCGAACTGCTCCCGTATCGCGCCGGTCCCTGCTTCTTCCCTCTTTCCCTATCTGTCTATCTATCTCTCGTAGGTACGTGTACCTACTATCACGCTCTTGCACCGCCGCCCGGAACAGAAGGGGAAATCAATGAAAGAAAAGTACGACGCGAGCGCTCGTAAATCGGCATTTATGCTCGCCTCCTGGTCATCGGTCCCTCGGTCTCACTTTGACGGGCACATACGGTCTGTCTGGTTGCGCGTAGCGAGAATGCGCGGATCCACGGAAACGCTGTCCGATGTCTCGCGAACTCAAGAGTCACCAAATTTCGTATACGTCGACCGTGAAAAGAAACGAGGGCGTGGGGGTCATGGGATGCGTGAACGTATTTTGTATGTGTGTGCGGATGTTTCGAACGATATACGTGTCTGCTCCGTGTGTATGTGTGTGCGTGCGTGCGTGTGCGTGTCTGTGTCTGTGTGTGTACGTGTGTATGATAGAGGGTTACGCGAGACTAGAAATTAAAGCGTTAAACACTATACTAAGAAAACGGAAATAACGACACGACTCGGGCGGAGGCTGCCTAGAGACTGGACTCGGCGACCGCGTTCAAGCGCCTTGCCAAGCTGGCTCGGTCGTATTCGTTTCGACTCGGTTTCGGTCGCAAACCATCGGCCGAGCTCGTCGAGAACCCCCCTCGTTCCATTCCTGCCGCTGCCCGTGCCCCGGCCTCCGACCATCAACCCAAATCGCACGAAGGGTTGCCGATCGAACTAATAAGAGACGTATGCTCGTTCTTAAATAAACTGTGACCTCTCGTAGCCGATCGAATCGGTACGTCCCGTAAACAACCCTCCCGATTTCGACTGTTCATCCCTCTAACGTTCAGTCCTCAACGGACCTCGTCGAACCTCGGAGGAACATGCAAAATTGTCACCTTGCGTCACCCGTGGAAATTTCATTAATACCGATGCGAAACCTCCTCTGTTCCGTTACGAAGCGTCTGCAGGGGTTTGCAATATGGCTCCCCGGGATTACGAGGCAGAAAACATCCCCCGTCCTTCGATCCTGCCTCCCGCTTGCATCGCTCCTCGCATCGGATCATGACCACCCCTTCACGGTTTTTGACCCCCGCCGTCCGTCCCGGTTACGCTATCGCGTCGATACAAGAATTCTTTTATCCCCTGCCAGGCTGCACTCGATCCAGCAGTGAACTCGAAATCATGAATCACGTCCGCACGGTGGCCATTTGCCAATGACCATGAAAATCGTTTACGAAAGGAACTGCAGAAAAATCGCCGCAAAGAGATGTGCACCTCTGATATAAATAATTGGGATGCGGTTGCGAATGAATGCGGGAAGAAGCTGCATCCCTGACCTTACCCAGAGTTCATACTTGAGAATCGAGAGAGGTATACGAAACGACGCTGAGCCAAAATTATGTGTCGCTGACGAAACACGTGCGACCGTGCCAATAACCGGCGGGCTACGTTTTTGAAAACTCGCTTCCGGAACCAACAGATATACGCGTTACCGAACTTCAAAAGAGGTTCCTCGTAAATCACGCATCGTCTCTTTAAATGATCTGACATGACAGAAAAAGCTAAAGATTCGAGATAAATAATCGTCAACCGAATTACAAATTCTACTCCACTCACGATTAACGAATGCCTAATAATCGGAGAAACGATCTTTTCGATTGACTTCCTTCTTTGCGAGCCGATCGATCGGTCAGTCATCGTGCATGACCGGAGCTGACATAAGCGAAAGACAGAGAACGGGACGGCAGGTATTGTCTAGTCGGCATGAGAAAAAAGAGAGAGCGGAGTTGGGACCAGGGCAGCGGGACTTGCAACAGATGCGGAACGGTATGTAGAAAAAAATAGGGACACGAAGTAGCCGCATATGCGAACGTGTTCCATTATAATCGGCGGGCATAAAACCGGCCACGCGGCGCGACAGGAAGTTGTCACCGCGTTCAACGTTGGAATTACATATGAAAGTTTTACTGGCCTCCGATAGCCTCAGCGCCGATGAAACAATGTTTCGGAGCACTTCGATTCGAAAGAGGGCAACCATTTATCCTGAACGATTCCGAAGAGAGATTATACGAAGCCGTGTAGCAGCATCGGAGACTATTCCACGAAGACTGAAAACAGAGACTAGTGAATCATTCGCTGTTTGACAAAACGTCAGCCGAGCAAACACCCCCTTCTTTCGTCTAGATCCAGCTGTCGAAGGTAGGTAGTAGGTAGCCACGCTTTCGGGGTTTGGTCCCACCGTGCGTGTCAGTCATCGATCCGGCGCGTCGTTACGACCATACCGTGTGCACGAGCATATAGAACTCCACGCCACTGGTGTAATAATTTCATCCGTCAACTTTTTCCAGGGTCGACGAACCCCCGGGGCCAAGAGGTCCGTCGATACCGCATCGACGAATCCTATTTGCGAGACCCATCGGAGTTTCTACAAATCCCGTCGAGGCGTGACGAAGAAACGGACGGAATCAATGAAAAGAACAACGCCAGACGCGGGTAAAAGTAGTTCGACAAATACCGACTTAAATCTGCGAGGGGATAAATAATTACGACGCTGGTATATATAATTTCGTGCATGTTTGCATACGGAAGGGTTGGGACCGTCGTCGGTGGAAGCGCGGAGGGATCTGCAACGATTTTAACGAGTGTCCATTTCTCTTTCCAAAACCGGCGCGTCGTTTGAGAAAACACGGAGCCAGAATCGATCAAGCGAGCACGTAATCGCTGCGCTAATTAAGGTGCGATCGATCGATCCGGTCTTCCCCGCGTGGTCGCGTGTCACCCTTGCCTCCGCTTTTCGCTCCTACTTCCACTTGCACGCTATCGTATGCGCCGATCCGCGCGATCGCCTCTTTCTTACGAGGCAATGATCGTATCACCGAGTAACCGGGGAAACCCTGCGACTATCCTCGAAGTCCACAAAGAGTGATTACGTAACGTAAACAAATGCTCGCGGAGAGAAAAGAGAACGGAGGCCGTGTATTTTTTGGCTGCGATGGAACACTTTCATTAAGAGAGGAAACATTGTTGGGGTTCTATGGAATTCGAGTGAAACGTTCAATGTAATTCGAGGCTGAAATCGTATACGACGATTTCCTCGTTATCGGAGCGAGCGTTGCTCGTTCGAAAGTCCAAGCGAAATGGATAATCTCTTTAAATCTGAACGAAGCTTCGATAGATCGGTGCGTCGGTGGGAACGTATAGACGCATCGAGGCTGTTAATACCGCGAATGCATATGCATATCGTATCTCGAGAGGGTAACGTGTGCGCGATGCAATCGCGTCGGACGAGGAAGAATCGCGAAACCGAGAGAAAAAGAATTACGACTGGATGGACGCGGTGGATGAGAGAGAAAGGACGAGACAGAGGAGCTCCATTGATTGGTCGGTGGCACGGTGAAACGTTGCAGTTGCCCCGGAGGTATATGAACCCCGGCACGGCTCTCTTCCCGTCTTTCTCTCTGCCTCCCCCCTCCTTCTCTCTCTCTCTCTCTCTCTCTCACTCCTCGACGTTCCACTCTCCCTTCAGTAGTTTACCCTTGCTACGATTTTACCCCACGGCGAAACGCAGGCGCGTCACATGGACCCAGGAACGATCAATACGAGCTACCCCAACCAGTCTCTCCCTCCTGCTCGCACGCCGATACTCTGTCTTCCTTTCGCTTCGTGTCCACATCGCTCCGCCAGCCACCGACCACGCTCCCAACCCTTGGACAATCTTTAAATACTCGGCTGAGAATTTTGATAAAAAAATAAAGAGCTGTTCCCTCGTGCCTTGAATCCGTATTTATCGCGGTTTTAACAGGGGACATGGTACCGCGAAACAGAAGTGACCCGGTGTAAGGAAGAAATCGAGATTTGTAAAAAGGTCGCGTTCATTGTCACAATCTATCTAACACTCCTTTATCCCTCTCACGCACCATTGTGATCGAAGCCATCGCGAACGGAAGCGTCCCTCTCGAGACTTCCTGCTTGTCCTCGACGAGGACCCGCAGTGCCAGTTGCTCCATCCTGGATCTGCCCGATCGTTCACGCGCGCCCTCGACGTTTCCCATCATCGTCTTGTTACCGAACATAGCATTCAAAGTATATCGAGACGGTTTTCTCTCATTCTCCCTCGCCTCTCTTTATCCTGTTTTTATCGTTTCTCGGTTTCGTTTCATTGGCTTTCTTATTCGCAAGCGAAAAGGAAGAATCGTGACTGCAGGTCGGCCGGGGAACCGTGAGGGAGGAAGCTGCGTGTTCGCGTTCTCCTGGTCACACTGGTTGCTTTCGACTGCCACGCCCAAACTTCTCGCTCAGCGGCCATACGAAACGTTAACAATTTTCACCCCGAGGAACGTGTTTATTGATCGAAATGAATTAAAGCTTCGAGGAACATAACTGGCCAAGAGAATGCGATGATAACAGGTCGGATGTAAGAAAGAACGTAATGGTTTGCCGAAATGATCCTTCGACCAGTCCTGCGTCAAGGATTTTTCAGCAAAAGGGGTTGCAAACGTATGTATATCGTAATCGTCGGCAGTGGACAGAGCCATGCCAAAATGCACATAGATATCGACAGGTACACATCGATAACAATGTTTGCAATTGTAACGGTAATAATAACAACAATAATAATAGAATGATAATAATAATTCGAACGTCAGAATCACAGAAGCAACGAAAGTAAAGAAACAAATGAACATACCGGTTAACGATGAAAATCAGTGGTTGGAGGATGCAGATATCTGGGCGTAGAACGAAACGACGGTGGGTTAATGTTATTTTTTTTTTTGCAACTACTTTTAAATGGAGCGTATCCCGCTTTCTTTAATATCGCTAGATTCTCATTCCATCGTTATCTCGTGCGTTACTCCGTTTTATCTCTATCGTTACGCGAATGTTTTAAACGGCGACGAATCTCATACGTGTCTCGCACTTCTCACGACAGTTTACGACACTTGACTCGATTCGTCGGAACGAAAAAAGGACGAAAGGAACCTCGGAACACACCCTCCAGTGTCTCTCTCTCTCCCTTTCGCACCCACCGGGCAACACTATTATTCCCTTTTTCCCACTCCCTTTCACGTCCTTGCGTTTCCCTCTTTTGCTCTCTTCCGCAGGTCAAAGGATCTTCCAGACGATGAATCCCGTTGCCCTTTTACGTTTCTTGTTCACTAATCTCGATCGCGCACATCCGCGATGTATCTTTCGTTTCTTCTCGTTTAACCGTCGAACGAGGCCAAGAGATGATTCGCGGCGATCGAACAATTCCAAGAGCGGACCGTTCCAAGGACCGAAGAGAGAACGGAAGGGTTGCGGGAAGAATAATCGGAACGAACAAAGTCATAAGATCCTCGTGAAACAAGTAAAACTGGTACGACGGTCCAAATGAAATTCCTACGTCTCGTTTATTAATATCGGTACTCTTGCAGTTGCTGTTTCCTTTACACCGGTCAATTGTGCGTGGACACGCGCGGACCCTCGGCTTTACAGAACTCGGTGACACGTGAGGACGGGAGGAAAGCAATAAATGATGGGAGAGATCTTGATATACGGCGTGAACGACTGTACTAGTTTACCAACGATACGAACGTATTATCGAATTGAAGGGTTATCAGAAATTAGGATACACAAGCAAATAGTAAGAATGTTGCGGGTATAACGGTGTCTACAACGCAATGCCTTTATGTGGTGCGGTAACTAAACTGACGGAGCGAGGTCCCGCCGCCAATCGGTGCACCCTCTGTTGCCCGCCGCTGCTACAACCACCCCCGACGCTGCTCGTTCTGGCTAGGCTCGAGGGGTGGGAGCCGCCTGTACAGCGGACGGGCAAGGGAAAACTCGTTGGGCAGAGGAAAATCGACGTGCACGCCGGAATGTGCGCAGACGTCGAAAAGAGGCAATGACTGCACCCTCTTCTCCGTGCTCGCCCTGTGTGTGCCGCCATCGGCTTGTGCCAACCCTGGGCCTTGCTCACGGAGGAGTGGCTGAAGAAAGAGCAAAAGAAAAAGGGAGAAAGAAAGTAGAAAAGAAATTGCGAGGGAGTACGCGCAAGCGCCAAAGCAAAGGCAACGAGCACGTCTCTTCCGGACACCGGGAACCATGGTTGACCATTCGAGGGGTGAAAGAAAAATCGTCGACGGACACGCGACGCGCGCAACCCGAGACCTACAACGAGGCAATGATTCTCGCGGCGCGAAAGCGCCGTCACGTTGTCGCGATTTTGATGACGGGGCGATGATAGAAAATATACGCGGAGCCTTTACGTGTATATCATTCGATCGTCGCAGAAATATTTGTATGCATTCGAGGCGTGAACAGAATTTGAGAACATTTTCAAGCCGGTACATCCGCTAAAGAGGAATATTACACGGTCTCCCCTGCTCGTTGTACGATCAACCGATAGCTAAAAAGAAACGCGTCGACGAGAAGAGAGGGTAAATGAAATCGACGAGCCACGCAGGCGCTGCGGAGGGGTCGTAAACAATGACTGCTCCCTCCGGAGATCCGCTGGATCTTCCAGCCATCGATACCGATTGAAAGAACACTACGTGGAAAGCAGAGACGGTAAGAAAGCACCAGTGGAAGAAGAGCAGAAAATGATTGGCGGAGTTTTCGTACAGACAGTAAAAGAACAAACTGAAATGTATTAAATCTGAAAGGAAAAATAAAGCCTTCTAATTAAAAGCCTCTAATAAAATCGAGTATAGACGGACGATCCTCTTATATGTTACAAAAATCAGTTGGACAAAATACATTCGAACGCTTCGTGGGAGATTTGCGTAACGATGGGGTCAAAGAATGGAGGTTGAAATCGAGGGAACGAAGAAAAAAAATGTGTAGTCGCGTGCGGGAGTGCGTAGATGCGCACGCCTGGCTGGCTGGCTGGTTCTCTCGTCCTCGTGGACGAGATAAGAACGGATGGAAATTGAGACCGAGTGAAATAAAGACAGAAACGGGAGATAGATCGAAAAGAGAGAGGGTTGGTAGCCCGCGCAGAGCTCGAGGACGCAGGCGCCGCGTTGAAAATGGAAATCGTCGTCCCAGGGGTTGATCTATCTCCTGTTGCAAGAGGGAGAGAGTGTGAGAGAGAGAGAGAGAGAGAGAGTGAGAGTTTTACCTCTGTGCGAATGCGGCCAAATTTCATCGTGGCTTCGCCACATAGTTCACCGCCACCAGTCCCTTTCTCCTCCCCGTTTTATCGTGCGCAGATATTCGGTAAATTTTCCAGAAAGTTAAACTCGAACCGATATTCCAAATCCGACGATTTGTACCGTTCCCTTCTCACCTTCGTGGTATTATAATCGCTCTAACTTTCCGACTTTCGACGCTCCCTTCCCCCCCCTCTGCCCCCCTCCCTTTCGTTTCGTACCCTGGATTTTGTTCCCTCTATCAACGTAGGCACAAAATATTAAGGGTTCGGAATTGAATTAAGAACCCTCCTTTTTGTCCGGACCCCAGCTACCTGGAGGAGATGCACCACCGCCGGGACATTGTAAGTCCGGCAGAATCTTAAGAGGACACGTGCTGCATAAATGGATCCACGTGCCTTGGGCATCGCGTAACAGGCAGACGAAACGAGAACAGAATGCTAAGAAATAAATCCAACTAAAATATTTTCTATGAGAAGATTTCTATCGGAAGATCCATTTCCCTGAAGTCGTTACAAAGCGCACCGAGGCACATACGCGTATAAACAGGTCCGCGATCGGTGGTTATCTTATCTGAAATCGAGTTATAACGAGAAAAGCGACGATCGATAAAAGACGCATTTGGTATTTACGTGGGCCGAAGCGAATGCCACGTTGGAATCGACAGTGCGCGCTGCGAACGATGTGTACTAACGACGCGGGCTATGAATTGCACGAATCGATTGCTCGCGGGAGGAATAATTAGTTTAGTCCGTTACACTCGCGTCGTGGATACGCGGATGAAAAGGCAGTATCGTTGAAAAAAGGAGCTGCCTGTAAGGCAGTCAGAGAAAATATGTACAGAGAGGGTGGGTCGAGACAGACGAAAAAATGAGGGGTTGATAATCTAATGGTAAATGGTAGATAGCATGCGTAGAACATGGGCAGTGGCGTGGATCGCCGAATTCGTTCGGAACACATGTAAAACATTTAAACATTTGCATCTCGCGATATGGAAACGTCAGTCCCACCTCTGCGAGATGATACGGAAGCTGGAATCATCCACTGAAATCTATGGCGTTAAAAATGATAAGAGCGAAGAGGCACGAAGAGGTATAAACGGGAACGCGTAAAACCTGAATCCCGCAATTTGTAACGCTCTTACACTTTATCCCAAACTTCCGTTCGTCGAGTATCTTGGGAAACAGGGTGCACCTAGCCCAATTGCCTCCTCTCGCTACGCCATTGGGCGTAGGGTGGCAAGAGAAGCTTGGGTGCCCCACGGCACAGGGGTTTCGAATATCGATCTCTCGCGTTCTCCTAGTCTAGTCGCTCTCTTTCTCTCTCTGGTTCCCCTCCCGGCGCCCTGTACGTCTCTCTGTTCCACCGGCACGGTTTCGATCTCCCTTTCTCTCCCGCCGCAGAGCTCGGCTGCGAATAACCCGGGAAACCGAGAGAGACGAGAGCAAGAAGGGTTCACCAGGAAGTCCCAGCCAAAGCCCAGGAGCGGAGGACATTCACCGATGCATACATGCGATGCTAAATACACGTACACGATATACAGGCGCCACGTAAAAGTTTGCGAAACCGGAACTCGCGCAGCTCGCGCACCTTCAGATTCGAAAGTTTCCACGCGCACGATTCCGTTTCCCTTTAAGCGATCGCGGCTAAATGAATTTCTTGAACTTCTCGATTTAATCGAAAGCCAGGGTATTACGCGCTAGACGCTATGTAAATATTTGGAGCGGAAGACCCGCGGTCCCTCCGGCTACTTACGATGGATCAAGTTTCAGGAGTACGAGCAATTTAGTTTTTATCAACCATTAAACAGCCTACTAACTTCCTTACAAGTTCGAACGATACTTTTAATCCGCCAGTTTTAATCGTAACTCACTGATCTCTAAAATAATTATATACATAGTTCAATGACCTAAGCGATCTATCCTATATAAAAATTTTCTAAAGTCTAATGGCGAAGCTTATAAGAGACGGCATATCGACTATCTACGTACGTCGTAACCATGAATAGATATAACGAGGACAGAGGGAAAATTGTGTGGACTGAATGAAAAGAAGCGCAAGCAGGGACACGCGTATCGATCCAACAAACCAAGGAAACCAGCGGAGGATCCATTGGCAGTGTCCTCCAGTCGACGATAAGCCGGAGTTCGCGTGGACCATTCCAAGTGACAAGTGAGACGAGAATCTCTCGATATGTCCGACGCCGAGGATACCGGTACGTTGGGGTTACTCTGCCTCCCTCGCGGATTCGAGGGTTCTTCCCGACAACCTTCCGTGACTAAAGCGCGAACACGTAATACGTGCCACACACCGTCTATCTATACGCGTCTTCACACACGAGAGACGATCGTTTCGTGTTACGCCACGGCTTCTATATCTCGACATTGTTTCCGATAGATCTCCTCTGATCCGAACGAGTCGAACACATGCCCGGAGAACTAGTCACGCGAGGATCAACGCGAGCTCGATGCACTTTGACATTTGGCAGGTGTTTCTCTTCGGAAATGTAGCCCTGATTCTATAGCAATCGTACGAATCGCTATATCAAGGATGTAACAATTTCTCTCTTCGACTGTGTGCCGGCTACTCTTTCTGTTCTCTCGCTTTCTTGCTTCTACGTTCGGTGCTGCTGACGTCAAAGATAAAAATCGTGCGTAAACCCGGATGCTTCTCCCTCTTTGATTTCTGTTCGCGGAACCATGAAATCATGAATGGTACAGCGTTTGATATTGTTAATTCCGATTCTCATCTCTCTGCCGAAACTGTCGAAGATTTAGCACGAATTCAATGATGCACGTTATTGCGTTCTCTCCAGTTCTCGTTAATTGTTTCATACCCTCTCGCTCGGGTCTGTTTGTCCCACTTTTAATCGTTCTGGCCAATCGCCTGTTAACGTTTATCTCACAATTTCCCGGAAGTCTACCATACACCATTCCGTGTCACATGCGAGTAACACGTAATCGTGAGAATAAAGTTTTGGTGAAAATCGGTCCAACGTCTAATTCGAACGTTTCGTGACCAGAAGCAACAGCTCTTTCACCCACCGCCTTCGCACGTTCCCACGAGCATGAGATTACGATAGGAGGCGGGAGGAGGATGAAATCGGTTTTACGGCCGAATTTTACGTAGAAGTAAATTTAGATTTTGATCAACGAGGTTCTCGTGACGGTAAACGACTGGAATTCATTCGTAATTCGGACGGGTGTCGAGCCCGTAATCTCCGACGCGCGGCGATGTAAATTTCCAACCCCGGGTTTCGATTGAACCCGAGCGAAATCACGAACCCGAGCCACACGAGAGATTCCCTGCACGAGAACGAGCGGTAACGTGCCGATCCCACGGCACGATCAACGTTCTAGGCTATCCACGTACGTAGGTGGTAACGTTTTCACCCCCGAGTAAAAGCGAGGCTACACTTACGAGAAAGAGTCAGTCCGTTCCCGCGTCTTCTACTCGTTGGATCACCGCGTCACTTCTTTTTGGGATGGCACTCGGGGAGGGTCGGGACCCGTTGGAACACACCAGTCTCTATCAGAGAGCTGGTTCGCTCGATATTACATCCTACGTATTGCTGTTTTTCAATTTTTACCTCAGTTTCATACACGTGAATTATCGTTGTGCAGAGAGCGAGGACAGCGATACCGATGGCGGGATGGGAAACGTGAACAAAATGATAATGCGACCGCCGGGTCACAGCGGGAAAGCGAAGAAAGGACACATCTGCTTCGACGCCTCGTTCGAGACTGGCAACCTGGGGAGAGTGGACCTTATCTCGGAGTTCGAATATGATCTTTTCATACGGCCGGACACGTGCAACCCGCGGGTTCGTTTCTGGTTCAACTTCACGGTCGACAACGTGAAAGCCGATCAGCGGGTGATCTTCAATATAATTAACATATCGAAAAGCGCGAATCTGTTCCGCGACGGGATGACGCCGCTCGTGAAGAGCAGCAGCAGATCGAAATGGCAAAGGATACCCAGGGACCAAGTAGGTTGAAGCTGGGATCGCGAGAGATAACGCCTGACGCGCGGTTTTCCCCGTAGGTTTTCTACTACAAATCGGCTCAGCACCAAAACCATTACGTCCTCAGCTTCGCGTTCTGTTTCGACAGCGAGGAAGACGTGTACCAGTTCTCTTTGAGCTATCCGTACTCGTACAGCCGTTACTTGGCGCACCTCGACAACCTGTGCACCAGGTTGACGTGCACGAGACGGGAGACTCTAGCCACGTCGATACAAAAGCGAAAAATCGAACTGATCACGATAACGTCGAATCTGGAAGATGGTCAAGACCGCTCGAGGAGGGTGGTTGTAATTCTAGCTAGGGTACACCCGGGCGAGTCACCTACTTCGTTCGTCTGCCAAGGTCTAATGGACTTTTTAGTCAGCGGCCACCCCATCGCTCAGGCATTAAGAAGCTATGTAGTTTTCAAGATAGTCCCGATGCTGAATCCCGACGGAGTTTTTCTTGGCAACTATAGGTAAACACAGACGCGATCCTCCGTCGACGGAGGCAATAAAAAACCGATTGATCGTCCTGTTAAAGATCGACCGTGACAGGGGCGGACTTGAATCGTTCCTGGAATAAAGTCTCCGAATGGCTTCATCCTGCCCTCGTTGCGATCAAGCCGATGCTAAAGAGCCTCGACAAAAACTCACGAGCACCGTTGGACTTCGTGCTCGACTTACACGCTCATGTCAATGCCACCGGTATTTTCGTTTACGGGAACACGTACGACGATGTCTACAGGTACTTCGTTATTTTTTCATAAAACTCATTCCTGAATCTGAACCTAAACGAAAAGTTTAGCTAAAGCTGTGTTAAACGCGAAAATTTCGGGTCTGAACTTTCGACCTTAAGTGAAGACACGATTCTTATCTTTGATCCTATTGATCGATTTTAAGTGTGTTTAACGCGACTTTATTTCCATATTGAAATGATACCATCTAACGAACGGCTGCCAGCCTCTCAGGTACGAGAGGCACATCGTGCTACCGAAGTTGTTAGCTCAACACGCGGAGGACTATGAGATATCGAACACGATGTACAATCAGGACCCGAACAGAGCCGGGACAGCTCGTCGTTATCTCTGCTCGATGCTGAAGGAGCACGTCAACTGTTACAGCATCGAAGTATCGATGTACGGGTACAATAAGAAGACGACGCCTGGAATATTCCCATACACCGAGGAAGGATGTATCCTTTGCTAATGCTCTTTCCGGAAAACGGAGAAATAATACATCAGAAAGGGTAAAATGTGAATAACTGTATGGACAGTTCGACTGATTTTAAACTACAATCGTGGTAGAAGTAATTAATCATTTGGAGAACGAGCTGTTTTAAGGCATCGTTCCAACATGAACCGTTATAAACTGAGTCTCGTATTTTTCGGAGAAGACTAAACCGGATTGCCTTTGAATAATTTATACGTCGGTCAATCGAAGCTATAGTTATACGTTAAAAAATATCGATCTATCCGTCCCGCTGGTTCGTTTAAGTCCGAAGGAAACGATGATCTTAACTATCGAATGGAATAACAGATTATAGACTGGGACGAAATCTGGCCCGCGTATTTCTAGAGTATTACAAGCTGATGGGCATCATCCCTGTCGGTTTGCCTAACCAACCGTCTACGAAACGAACGCGACAGTATCGGCCGCGATACCGTGACCATAGACAGACCAGGCCGAAGACGTCCAGGAAGCCAGCGCCTATACATTTCGCCAGCATTCACGAGTAATTTTAAATATCTCATTTTTTACTAGAAAAATGTACATCGTCGAACGAGCGAAGTTTGTCGTACTTCAGGATGTACTGGCTATACAGTCAATCCCAAAAGTTTATGTACCTTAGAAAAACGCATTTCCTATAATTAAAAAGAAATCAGACGTC